ACACATCAAAAAGTCAACACCAGCAATCAGCAGCCAATTAATGCACAACTATATTTTACCCACTTCAAGACCCCGAACCAACATAGCAGCAGCAAGAGGAGGTATAGGCCAATAGACCTTCTGCAGTTACTTCCATTCTTATGTTTTCATATCCACTTTATTCCCAATGTTTCGTGTTCTGTCTTGTGTTTGTCACCTCACCGAAAACTTTTGTGCCATATCACTTCACCCAAAACGAGTATAAGTATGATTATTTTTTTTTTTTTTAAGTGTAAACTTTACGGGCTATTCATGCCCGTGCCAAATTTTGGGTGGCTTAATCTTCATCAATCAAGTGTAAACTAAGTCTTTGAAAATATAATAAGAATTACGAAACGCGTAATTGCATTTATTCAATTACGCGTTTATATTATTTAATTGAATTAAATTTATTTTCAAATTCAATTATTTAATTAAATTAAATTAATTCAATTAATTTATTATTTATTAGTTGAATTGAAAACGCGTAAATCGTAATTTATTTAGGCCCATAAATAAAAATTTATTTTGGAGATTTGATATTTCAATTACCATCGACAGTGAAGAAAAACATAAATATTGAGAAAATTCGTGTTTGAAAATTTTGTTATCTTACCGTGTTATCATACCTTTTCGGTCATATTCATATATATATATATATATATATGTCGTACCTAGTAGCCAGAACTCACTTCTCGGCCTACTATGCAAGGCCCGATTTGCCTAATAAGCCAAGATTTCCTGAATTAATATATTTTCTCTATTTTTTTTCTTATAAAATGATAAAGCTACCCATTTCATTACGTATGAGGTCAATTTTCTTTTATTTGAGTTAAAGTTAACGTAGATATATGACCGAACCTAACCAACCCTACCTAACCTAACCTAACCTATCTTTATAGGTTAGGTTAGGTTAGGTAGCCGAAAAAGTTAGGTTAGGTTAGGTTAGGTAGGTTAGGTTGTCGAAAAACAATTAATTCATGAAAACTTGGCTTATTAGGCAAATCGGGCCTTGCATAGTAGGCTGAGAAGTGCGTTCTGGCTACTAGGTACGACATATATATATATATATATATATATATATATATATATATATATATATATATATATATATATATATATATATATATATGACAGTGTCAGACCACGGAGGAAAATTGAAACATTAATTTCCTTCAGCACTTTCGTATATTAATACATCTTCAGAAGGAGCACTCCTTCTGAAGATGTATTAATATACGAGAGTACTTAAGGAAATTCCTGTGTCAATTTTCCTCCGAGTTCTGACACTGTCACATTTTTAATCACGTGTTTATTTTCGTGCTATATATACACACACACACACACACATTATATATATATATATATATATATATATATATATATATATATATATATATATATATATATATATATATATATAATGTATAATATATATTCAGTCAGTAATATATTAATGTAGGCGGCAGCAGGCTAACAGGATGCAAGGCGCTAGATGCACAGGCTTCGTCACCGAGAATACTAATGTCAGACTAAAACACTCACCCGCACTAATGAGAGACCTCACCAGGCGTAGGAATAGCCTAAGTTATCTTGAGATGAGGTTATCTTGATAGCTACTATCAAGATAACTAAAGGATAGCTACTCTATCCTTTTGAGATGTATTTCATTTTATCAATAAACTTGAGCTTGATCCTCAGGATGGGGTTGTCTGCTGGTCACGGCTCCACTGCGTATCTTGACGTTATCTTGAGATGATTTCGGGGCTTTAGTGTCCCCGCGGCCCGGTCCTCGACCAGGCCTCCACCCCCAGGAAGCAGCCCGTGACAGCTGACTAACACCCAGGTACCTATTTTACTGCTAGGTAACAGGGGCATAGGGTGAAAGAAACTCTGCCCATTGTTTCTCGCCGGCGCCCGGGATTGAACCCGGGACCACAGGATCACAAGTCCAGTGTGCTGTCCGCTCGGCCGACCGGCTCCCATATCGTGTGGTGATGTATGTAAAATGAACAAATCCACAAGGACCGTGACAAGGATTCGAACCTGCGTCCGGGAGCATCCCAGACGCTGCCTTAATCGACTGAGCCACTATGTATGTAAGCCCGTGGGGAAACTAACAGCGACTTACGGGCTATTCATGCCCATGCCATGTCTTGGGTTGCTTAATCTTTATCAATCTCACAGCGACGGATGACAAGGAAAATTCCCTGCAAGACAATCTTCCTCGCGACGACAGACTGAGAATCACAAGCCAGATTCACGAAGCAGTTACTTACGCAAGCACTTACGAACGTGTACATCTTTCCTCAATCTTTGACGGCTTTGGATACATTTATTAAACAGTTTACAAGCATGAAAACTTGCCAATCAACTGTTGGTATTGTTATAAACAGTCTCCTGGTGCTTCGGAGCTCATTAACTGTTTAATAATTGTAAACAAAGCCGCCAAAGATTGAGAAAAGATGTACAGGTTCGTAAGTGCTTGCGTAACTGCTTCGTGAACTGGGTTCAGGAACTCAGGACACTCCGTACCGACGGCGGACGAGTAACCAGGAACTCAGTCATCACCGTGGCGCCGCCAGAGGAAGTCGTGACTGACAAATAATATGAGAGTGGTTGACATTAATTTAACAAGAGATATAAACAAGAGAGCTTTAACAATTCAATCAAAATGTTGTTGTCGTTTTGTCGGGGACAGGAAGCTTGTGTGTGTGTGTGTGTGTGTGTGTGTGTGTGTGTGTGTGTGTGTGTGTGTGTGTGTGTGTGTGTGTGTGTGTGTGTGTGTGAATGTTTATATATATATATATATATATATATATATATATATATATATATATATATATATATATATATATGTCGTACCTAGTAGCCAGAACGCACTTCTCAGCCTACTATGCAAGGCCCGATTTGCCTAATAAGCCAAGTTTTCATGAATTAATTGTTTTTCGTCTACCTAACCTACCTAACCTAACCTAACCTAACCTAACCTAACTTTTTCGGCTACCTAACCTAACCTAACCTATAAAGATAGGTTAGGTTAGGTGAGGTAGGGTTGGTTAGGTTCGGTCATATATGTACGTTAATTTTAACTCCAATAAAAAAAATTGACCTCATACATAATGAAATGGGTAGCTTTATCATTTCATAAGAAAAAAATTAGAGAAAGTAGATTAATTCAGGAAAACGTGGCTTATTAGGCAAATCGGGGCTTGCATAGTAGGCTGAGAAGTGCGTTCTGGCTATTAGGTACGACATATATATATATATATATATATATATATATATATATATATATATATATATATATATATATATATATATATATATATATATATATATATATATATATATATATATATATATATATATATATATATATATATATATTAGGCTTGTATCGAGGTCCTCCCGCAAGGTCTAACTGTTTACCTTACGGAAGCAACCCAACAACAGTTTACTAACTCACGGGTACCTATTTACTGCTAGGTGAACATAGGCATGAGGTGAAAAGGAAACCTGCCCAATGAATGTGCCGGCCGTGAATCGAACTCAGGGTGTCTGAGAGTCGAGAACGATAGTAGCCTACTCCACGAACTCACAATCAGGCTTCAAACAGCACAAGCATGCACGTATGGACAGGTGTGTACGCATGGACAGGTGTGTACGCATGGACAGGTGTGTACGCATGGACAGGTGTGTACGCATGGACAGGTGTGTACGCATGGACAGGTGTGTACGCATGGACAGGTGTGTACTCAGGACTACGTCCTCACCGGTTAACTATAGGACTACTATGAGGGGGGGGGGTGTTCTTCGCATGTTCTTATATACAGTTTTGTTCTCAGCTTCCTGTACAAGGAACAGCGCAAATGTTCTACCTCGTTCCTCTTCGTGAACACCAAGCGGTGTTCACTGTATTTGTTTTTGTTGGTAAAAAAAAAGCCTCAGTATGGGTGTGTGTGAATTTGTGTTAAAAAAGGGGTTCCATATTTTAGCTTTTAATTGCACAAATAAACAGTTCTTGTTTAAGACAAAAACATTTAGCTTTTCTCGCAGAGAGAGAGCTATCATCTTCCCTGTTAGCTGACGCCTGGTCCTCATAGCCTCCTGAAGTTAAATTACGAGGTAAATTTCTTGCTTTTAAAATTTAATATATTTTTGAGAGCACCAGAGAGTACCAGAGAGCACTTAGGAGCACCTAAGGGCACTAGAGAGCACCAGAGAGCACCTGAGAGGATCTGAGTGCACCTGAGAGCACTTAATAGCTCCTGAGAGCACTTAATAGCTCCTGAGAGCCTCTGAGAACACATGATTATAATCTGTGAAATAAAACCTTTATTTCCTTTGTATTTCTCTCATGTAATTATATATTTTAAATGAGTGACCAAGGTGTTCCGTAAGGAGCAACTCCAGCTGTCACGGTGCTCTGCTTATCCATGTGTTCCTTGAATATGTATATACATTGGTTTTTTTTTGGTGTAGGTGGCCTGTAGGTGGCCTCCTGTTGGTGTAGGTGGCCTGTAGGTGGCCTCCTGTTGGTGTAGGTGGCCTGTAGGTGGCCTCCTGTTGGTGTAGGTGGCCAGGTGATCTGGTTGGTTCTTGACCAGCCAGTAGGTGGGCGGGAAGCCACATTACCGTCTGGAGGGGTGTTCGCAGCCGTGTCCTAACCCTTATCTATTGCCATCTCAATATCTAATGGTCGGACCTTCGTAAAACCTGCCATTTTCTCATCCAGTGCTAAGCCACACCTGTGGGGATGGGAGGGGGACAATTCCCAGGGGGTCAAAAATAAACAGTGAAGTGAGCGGCGCCGTCACCCTGTCGGCTCCGCCGAAGCCCCGCCTCCGCCTTCGAGGCTCCTCCCCCCTGCGTCCGCGCCGACCACTCCTGAGCCTCTCTCCATCAGTCGTCGCGCATCCTATTGGTCGAGCGCACGAGAGGGCGTGACCCGCTAACATACAAAACCCACAACACGGGACAAATAAAGACAGTTCCCGACAAGCACTCGTGAATGATACGTATAACCGGCCTGTTCATGAGATAGTTGAGCGCTTGGCTGAGTGCAGTGTAATTAGTGATATATATAGGCATCGAGTGCAGTGGACTATTAAGACATGTACGAGGAGGAACTGCTATACCTTCACCGTACCCGCGGTATGACGCCGGCTGGCCCGCTTGGCCTGCACCCGTACCTCGGAGGCGGCTTACCTGCCAATCTTACCGACCACCTGGAGAAGTACCGGCTTGGGTTCCATGGTAAGTTTGTCGGTGGTGACCCTATACCGGCCGTCGGCCCGTCCTCGACACTCACGCCCCTTGTATATTGTCAAGCGCTGCTTTCTCTAGCTTCCTTTCAAGTTCAAGTTCTGTATCTGATAGTATCTGCAGCTCAGTTCATTCCTAGAAAGTGATAATGATGAATACTTTTGTTGAGTGGTGATGATAACGTCTTAAGTAGTGCTTTTGATATTCCCACAGGCGGCCTCACCCCCCAGTCCCCCTTCGCTCACGGGTTTCCAGGGGATTATCTGAAGCCTCTGCCCCAGTGTGGAGGCTTCCCGGCCGCTGGGCTGCCGGGGGGCAAACCTGACCCTCGCATCAAGGCTCGCCTGGAAAATGAAAACCTGTGGAACCAGTTTAATAAGTTTGGCACGGAGATGATCATCACTAAGCTCGGACGGTGAGTACGCCATTTAGAACAATGTTAATTGTAACACACATTAAACCCTTTGTGTCACTTGTGTGGCCGTGCGCACACAGCTACCACACATAACTACAGCGTTTACAAATTGACACATTAACCTCCAAGAGCGCAAAAACCTCCCAACATTCCGTCCCATTCCGGCGGCCGCGCGCTTGGCTTACAAAGATCCCAACCCGCTATCGGATCCGCTGACAACGATTCAATTTAGCTTCGCCGCTTTGATCTCGTCCAAGACAATAAGTGGCCCGGTGATATGGGATCATTTTGTTTGGTTTAGCTGCGTGTGGGGCCCACCTGGTAATCCTAGAGGATGGCCGCGGCCACTACTCTTGCGGGCCTTAATAATGCCGCCTTGGGGAGGGTGGTGGTTGGTGGGTGGCCATTCAACCCAACCCCAATTTATTGTGGACTGATCATAATTAATGTATTGATTTTTTTTGACGGATTTTGTATCTGGATTTGTGTTCAATCTCATATTTAATTTTAAGACATTTTTCGTGAAATGAATCATTTATTATTAAGGTTTCATATTTTCACATCATCCCGAAAATTATCATATCCCAGCTCCTTGTCGTCATATCCCAGTTCCTTGTCCTCATACCCCAGCTTCTTGTCGTCATATCCCAGCTCCTTGTCGTCATATCCAAGTTCCTTGTTCTCATATCCCAGCTCCTTGTCCTCATACCCCAGCTTCTTGTCGTCATATCCCAGCTCCTTGTCGTCATATCCCAGTTCCTTGTCCTCATACCCCAGCTTCTTGTCGTCATATCCCAGCTCCTTGTCGTCATATCCCAGTTCCTTGTCCTCATATCCCAGTTCCTTGTCGTCATATCCCAGTTCCTTGTCGTCATATCCCAGCTCCTTGTCCTCATAGCCTAGCTTCTTGTCGTCATATCCCAGTTCCTTGTTCTCATATCCCAGCTCCTTGTCCTCATAGCCTAGCTTCTTGTCGTCATATCCCAGTTCCTTGTCCTCATAGCCTAGCTCCTTGTCTTCATATTCCAACTCCGTTCCCTCATATCCCTTCCAAGTGTCATACATCACTTACCATAATATGAAATATTTAATATTAACTTTTTTAAAATTTCTTAATTGTTTAGTACAAAAATATTTATTAAACTCGTCACTTCCTTAAGCCACCTTTTACTTATACATTGTTTAACATGAAACTGTTAAGTAACTTTAAGTCACTTTTCAACTAATTTTAAGTCACATTTTAGAAAATTATTAGTCACATTTCTGCAAATAATAAGTCAAATTTCTGCAAATAATAAGTTAAATTTCAGAAAATAATAAGTCAAATTTCAGAAAATAATAAGTCAAATTTCAGCAAATAATAAATCAGATTTCAGCAAATAATAAGTCAAATTTCAGCAAATAATAAGTCAAATTTCAGCAAATAATAAGTCAAATTTCAGCAAATAATAAGTCAAATTTCAGCAAATAATAAGTCAAATTTCAGCAAATAATAAGTCTAATTTCAGCAAATAATAAGTCTAATTTCAGCAAATAATAAGTCTAATTTCAGCAAATAATAAGTCTAATTTCAGCAAATAATAAGTCTAATTTCAGCAAATAATAAGTCTAATTTCAGCAAATAATAAGTCAAATTTCAGCAAATAATAAGTCAAATTTCAGCAAATAATAAGTCAAATGTCAGCAAATAATAAGTCAAATGTCAGCAAATAATAAGTCAAATGTCAGCAAATAATAAGTCAAATGTCAGCAAATAATAAGTCAAATGTCAGCAAATAATAAGTCAAATGTCAGCAAATAATAAGTCAAATGTCAGCAAATAATAAGTCAAATGTCAGCAAATAATAAGTCAAATGTCAGCAAATAATAAGTCAAATTTCAGCAAATAATAAGTCAAATTTCAGCAAATAATAAGTCAAATTTCAGCAAATAATAAGTCAAATTTCGGCAAATAATAAGTCAGATTTCGGCAAATAATAAGTCAGATTTCGGCAAATAATAAGTCAAATTTCAGCAAATATTAAGTCAAATTTCGGCAAATAATAAGTCAGATTTCGGCAAATAATAAGTCAGATTTCGGCAAATATTAAGTCAAATTTCAGCAAATATTAAGTCAAATTTCAGCAAATATTAAGTCAAATTTCAGCAAATATTAAGTCAAATTTCAGCAAATGTTAAGTCAAATTTCAGCAAATATTAAGTCAAATTTCAGCAAATATTAAGTCAAATTTCAGCAAATATTAAGTCAAATTTCAGTAAATATTAAGTCAAATTTCAGTAAATATTAAGTCAAATTTCAGTAAATATTAAGTCAAATTTCAGCAAATAATAAATCAGATTTCAGCAAATATTAAGTCAAATTTCAACAAATATTAAGTCAAATTTCAGCTAATATTAAATCAAATTTCAGCTAATATTAAATCAAATTTCAGCTAATATTAAGTCAAATTTCAGCTAATATTAAGTCAAATTTCAGCTAATATTAAGTCAGATTTCTGACAATTGTAAGTTAGCGTAATGTGTTTAAGAACTAGGAAAAAATTTCAGCATATTTATTCTTGGCCCCAAATCGGGAATGGTCCGAGTCCGGGCTTGGCCCCAGGCTAGGCTTGGCGCCATGCCGGGCTTGGCCCCAGGCTAGGCTTGGCGCCATGCCGGGCTTGGCCACAGGCAGGAGTTGGGTAGTAAAATAACTCACTCCAGGACATTCTGGTCTTGTCTTTGTTACCCCAGTTAAACTATTAACAAAACAATGTAAATTAAACATTTATGTGTTGCTTACGGGTATGTTGCTTGCTTACTGATGGGTTCCAGGTGTTGTGGGAGGTGGGCATTGCATCTGTGTTGCTTGCAGATTTGTTTTGGGTGTAGATTTGTGTTGCTTTGCAGCTGTATGTTGCTTTCAGATTTGTAGTAATTGTCGGTGTGTTGCTTGCATGTGTGTGTCGCTTCTGGTGTGTTGCTTGCATGTGTGTCGCTTCTGGTGTGTTGCTTGCATGTGTGTCGCTTCTGGTGTGTTGCTTGCGGATGTGTTTGCGTTATATTGCTTGTAGGTATGTGTTGTGTTCAGGTGTGTTGCCTGCAGGTGAGTCTTGCAGAAAGTGAGAGTTGCCTGGAGTTGTAGCCTGAGGTTTATTGTAGGTGTAACAATGTGTTGCGTGCGGTAGGAGTGTGTTGCTTGCATTAAAAGTTTGTTGCTTGCGAATGTTTAGGCTTGCGGTAGGAGTGAACGTTCAGGCTTGCGGTATGAATGAACGTTCAGGCTTGCGGTAGGAATGAACGTTTAGGCTTGCGGTAGGAGTGAACGTTCAGGCTTGCGGTACAAATGAACGTTTAGGCTTGCGGTAGGAATGAACGTTTAGGCTTGCGGTAGGAGTGAACGTTTAGGCTTGCGGTAGGAGTGAACGTTTAGGCTTGCGGTAGGAGTGAACGTTTAGGCTTGCGGTAGGAGTGAACGTTTAGGCTTGCGGTAGGAGTGAACGTTTAGGCTTGCGGTATGAATGAACGTTCAGGCTTGCGGTAGGAATGAACGTTTAGGCTTGCGGTAGGAGTGAACGTTCAGGCTTGCGGTACAAATGAACGTTTAGGCTTGCGGTAGGAATGAACGTTTAGGCTTGCGGTAGGAATGAACGTTTAGGCTTGCGGTAGGGGTGATCGTTCAGGCCTGCGGTACCTGGTTGATACCTGGTTGATGGGGTTCTGGGAGTTCTACTCCCCAAGCCCGGCCCGAGGCCAGGCTTGACTTGTGAGAGTTTGGTCCACCAGGCTGTTGCTTGGAGCGGCCCGCAGGCCCACATATCCTCTCCACAGCCCGGTTGGTCCGGCACTCCTTGAAAGAATAAATCTAGTTTCCTCTTGAAGATGTCCACGGTTGTTCCGGCAATATTTCTTATGCTCGCTGGGAGGATGTTGAACAACCGCGGACCTCTGATGTTTATACAGTGTTCTCTGATTGTGCCTATGGCACCTCTGCTCTTCACTGGTTCTATTCTGCATTTTCTTCCATATCGTTCACTCCAGTACGTTGTTATTTTACTGTGTAGATTTACAAATGAACATTTAGGCTTGCGGTAGGAGTGAACGTTCAGGCTTGCGGTACAAATGAACGTTTAGGCTTGCGTTAGGAGTGAACGTTTAGGCTTGCGGTAGGAATGAACGTTTAGGCTTGTGGTAGGAATGAACGTTCAGGCTTGCGGTAGGAGTGAACGTTCAGGCTTGCGGTAGGAGTGAACGTTCAGGCTTGCGGTAGGAATGAACGTTTAGGCTTGCGGTAGGAATGAACGTTTAGGCTTGCGGTAGGAATGAACGTTCAGGCTTGCGGTAGGAATGAACGTTCAGGCTTGCGGTAGGAATGAACGTTTAGGCTTGCGGTAGGAATGAACGTTCAGGCTTGCGGTAGGAATGAACGTTTAGGCTTGCGGTAGGAATGAACGTTTAGGCTTGCGGTAGGAATGAACGTTTAGGCTTGCGGTAGGAATGAACGTTTAGGCTTGCGGTAGGAATGAACGTTCAGGGTCGGCTCATCCAAGCCCGGCGGCGCTATATCGCTGCCAGGCGCCGTCTCACCACCTCCTGTCAACAACTGCTGATTCATCTGTCAAATCAGTAGTGTAGCGTAGATAGCGTTGGCGGACAGTAGCAGACGGTAATGGGGTACAGATATGGTCTGTGATCACGTCAGCACAGAGTCGTAGGTCTGACCACAGAGGCCAGCGGTGAGTTGATCACACTCAGGTTCAAGTTCATGTTAAAATTTAAATATGTTTATTAAGACCATAAAATATATCTCAAATGGATAGAGTAGCTTAGGCTATTTCTATCTAGATTCAAGTACATTTATCAGGACTATAAAATACATCTCAAATGGATAGAGTAGCTTAGGCTATTTCTATCCAGATTCAAGTACGTTTATCAGGACTATAAAATACATCTCAAATGGATAGAGTAGCTTAGGCTATTTCTATCCAGATTCAAGTACGTTTATCAGGACTATAAAATACATCTCAAATGGATAGAGTAGCTTAGGCTATTTCTATCCAGATTCAAGTATGTTTATTGGGACCACAAATTACATCTCAAATGGATAGAGTAGCTTAGGCTATTTCAACCCGCCATAGACACGAAGCTTGTTCGTTATTAAAATTGTTAGAAATGCAAATAAATTTTTTTGGCTGGCTGAAGCCAACGGAAGTTGATGTATTAAGATTTTATCCCCAGTATAAACTAAAATAATATTGTTTAATGTATTAATAGTTTCTTGTATATACTAGAATTACACAATTCCTCTCTGGGTGGAAAGGGTCAAAGGATTAACAAAATTGAGTTCATTTTATATTTTATTTTTGAAAACTTTGTTTTGTGCAGAAATTTCATATCATTTTAATTCTCATTTATTGGCCGAAAGACTTAATTTGCATAAAAAGATTCTATTGTTTTTTGCAAGATTAGTTGCTCTTAGCGTGCAGGCGATGAGTCACAATAACGTGGCTAAAGTATGTTGACCAGACCACACACTAGAAGGTGAAGGGACGACGACGTTTCGGTCCGTCCTGGACCATTCTCAAGTCGATTGTACAATTATAGTCAACCTGAGAATGGTCCAGGACGGACCGAAACGTCGTCGACCAGACCACACACTAGAAGGTGAAGGGACGACGACGTTTCGGTCCGTCCTGAACCATTCTCAAGTCGATTGTACAATTATAGTCGACTTGAGAATGGTCCAGGACGGACCGAAACGTCGTCGACCAGACCACACACTAGAAGGTGAAGGGACGACGACGTTTCGGTCCGTCCTGGACCATTCTCAAGTCGATTGTACAATTATAGTCGACTTGAGAATGGTCCAGGACGGACCGAAACGTCGTCGACCAGACCACACACTAGAAGGTGAAGGGACGACGACGTTTCGGTCCGTCCTGGACCATTCTCAAGTCGATTGTACAATTATAGTCGACTTGAGAATGGTCCAGGACGGACCGAAACGTCGTCGTCCCTTCACCTTCTAGTGTGTGGTCTGGTCAACTTGCTCTTAACGTGTGTTGAAATTGTCCAATATTACCGCAGGCAGGCGACCTAGGTGGCCAGCCTCACCTGAAGATTATTATTATTAACATCTTTATTGACAAAATTAATTACAATTTTGCCTAATCTGAGGATTTTGATAGTCTTATTAAATTGAGGTTAATGCTAGTATTCACTGTCACGCAGGACAGAGGGTCATACACAAGACAATAGGTCTAAACTGTAGGCTGAAGCACATATATATCACAGTGATTGGTGCGCTCCAGGGAGGTATTTAAGGGCCCTCAGCTCAGGGAGATATAGTTACGGGCTCACCATAGCCGGTGCTACATGAACACTTCGTTCTGAGTGGCTAAATTTAAAGCAACAACAACAGGGAGATATTTTACGGGCTATTCATGCCCGTGGCTTAATCTGCATTAATCAATCAGGGAGATATGGAAGTGGTCGGGTCAGGGAGATGGTGGTGGGCCCAGGGAGATGGTGGTGGGCTCAGGGAGATGGTGGTGGGCTCAGGGAGATGGTGGTGGGCACAGGGAGATGGTGGTGGGCCCAGGGAGATGGTGGTGGGCCCAGGGAGATGGTGGTGGGCCCAGGGAGATGGTGGTGGGCACAGGGAGATGGTGGTGGGCACAGGGAGATGGTGGTGGGCCCAGGGAGATGGTGGTGGGCCCAGGGAGATGGTGGTGGGCCCAGGGAGATGGTGGTGGGCCCAGGGAGATGGTGGTGGGCTCAGGGAGATGGTGGTGGGCTCAGGGAGATGGTGGTGGGCTCAGGGAGATGGTGGTGGGCTCAGGGAGATGGTGGTGGGCCCAGGGAGATGGTGGTGGGCTCAGGGAGATGGTGGTGGGCTCAGGGAGATGGTGGTGGGCTCAGGGAGATGGTGGTGGGCTCAGGGAGATGGTGGTGGGCCCAGGGAGATGGTGGTGGGCTCAGGGAGATGGTGGTGGGCCCAGGGAGATGGTGGTGGGCCCAGGGAGATGGTGGTGGGTCCAGGGAGATGGTGGTGGGCACAGGGAGATGGTGGTGGGCTCAGGGAGATGGTGGTGGGCCCAGGGAGATGGTGGTGGGCTCAGGGAGATGGTGGTGGGCTCAGGGAGATGGTGGTGGGCTCAGGGAGATGGTGGTGGGTCCAGGGAGATGGTGGTGGGCCCAGGGAGATGGTGGTGGGCCCAGGGAGATGGTGGTGGGCCAGTAGAGGGCGGCGGGGCTGAGGGTAAGGTGATCATGTGTGGAGTAAGATGAGAAGTGTTGATGGTGTGTGTGTGTGTGTGTGTGTGTGTGTGTGTGTGTGTGTGTGTGTGTGTGTGTGTCCTCGGCCAGTGTCGCCGCTCTCACTGTTTGAGCACAAATGTTTGAGTCACTTTAGCGCGCCAACAAAACAAGGTTGAAGTGTTTGTCACTGGCCGGGGTGCGGGCCGCGGCTTATAGGGTTTGTGGATTAATGCTTTCCCTCGTCTCGTGATCTTTCTACTATTCTACATGTTCATCTACGTGCTTGGAAGCACATTTTAAATGTTATTTTATTCTAAAGGCAATTTTTCCTTGTTTCAGGCGAATGTTCCCGACGGTGAAGATGTCCGCTAGCGGGCTGGAACCCAACACCAAATATTTCGTCCTGATGGACATCATCCCAGCAGACGACTCCAGGTACAAGTTCCAGGGCAAGGAGTGGGTGGTGGCGGGCAAGGCCGAGCCCCACATGCCCGGCCGACTCTACATCCACCCGGACTCCCCCGCCTCGGGCGCACAGTGGATGCGTCATCCCATCAGCTTCCAGAAGCTCAAACTAACCAACAACAATCTGGACCAACAAGGACACATCATCCTCAACTCCATGCATAAGTACCAGCCGAGAATTCACATTGTAGCGGCGCCGGACTTAGTGTCCCTCCACTGGGCAGCCTTCAACACATTCAACTTCCCTCAGACCTGCTTCATGGCAGTCACAGCCTACCAGAACGACCGCATCACGCAGCTTAAGATCGACAACAACCCGTTCGCCAAAGGCTTCAGGGAGAACGGCCAGCTTCGCTCCAAGAAGAGGTCTGGAGGGACGCCGCCCCAGGTCGGGGAACTCACCGCCACCACCCCGGACAAGACTACTGAAACAGATGATGGTATGTTGCTTAAAAATTATGTATTATTTTGCATATCTTTTAGGCTTATAGCTTTTGGGATTGATGGTATTGTTTAAAAATTATGTATTATTTTGCATATCTTTTAGGCTTATAGCTTTTGGGATTATATCACTATGATGCACTAAGCGCACTTGTGGCGACGCACTGTGAGCGCACTTGTGGCGACGCACTGTGAGCGCACTTGTGGCGACGCACTGTGAGCGCACTTGTGGCGACGCACTGTGAGCGCACTTGTGGCGGCGCACTGAGCGCACTTGTGGCGACGCACTGTGAGCGCACTTGTGGCGACGCACTGAGCGCACTTGTGGCGACGCACTGTGAGCGCACTTGTGGCGACGCACTGTGAGCGCACTTGTTGGCGACGCACTGTGAGCGCACTTGTGGCGACGCACTTGTGGCGGCGCACTGAGCGCACTTGTGGCGACGCACTTGTGGCGACGCACTGTGAGCGCACTTGTTGGCGACGCACTTGTGGCGACGCACTGTGAGCGCACTTGTTGGCGACGCACTGTGAGCGCACTTGTTGGCGACGCACTGTGAGCGCACTTGTTGGCGACGCACTTGTGGCGACGCATTGTGAGCGCACTTGTTGGCGACGCACTGTGAACGCACTTGTGGCGACGCACAGTGAACGCACATGTAGCGACGCACAGTGAACGCACATGTAGCGACGCACAGTGAGCGCACACGTAGCGACGCACAGTGAGCGCACACGTAGCTACGCACAGTGAACACACATGTAGCGACGCACAATGAACGCACACGTAGCGACGCACAGTGAGCGCACACGTAGCGACGCACAGTGCACGGTCGCACCAACATAATTCCACATTTTACATTATAAATTAAAAGCCTCAAGCTACGGGAAAATAATCGAAAATGAGAAGATAATCTTAGCCAAGTCCTTGTTAGTAAAGTACATATTAAAGTACATATATGAGCTATCAAATAGGTCCCTTAAGTTAAGTGTCATTAGACGAGAACTCTTGGATGAACTTGAAGAACAACGGAGAACAGTACAAACAGGAACTAGCAGGTCCGTTGTTCATCACAATGTGTCAAGTAAAACATGTGTATGGGGCAAGTAACAGTCAACAACTGTTAACAGTCAACAGACTAACAGACGTTGTCACACTTGGCTACAAGTGTCTCTGGCACTTGTGTAGGGATCTGGAGGAAGTAAAGTGTAAAGTGTGTGGACAAAGACAGGAACACACACTCCAACACTATATCTTGGACTTAGTCAAACTGAACCATTTAGAGATAAATCTAAACTCACCTTGTATCAAATGACAAACCATCTTATTACCAAGGATAAAATACATTAATTCCTTGCCCTGATCTACCATCAATGTATAATGATTTACTGTAAACATATATAGCTCTTGAAGTAGAACATGCTCTGTAACATTCTCTGTAACATTCTCACAATCGACTTGAGAATGGTCCAGGACGGACCGAAACGTCGTCGTCCCTTCAATTTCTAGTGTGTGGTCTGGTCAACATGCTCTGTAACCTTACCCAATACAGTCCTTGAAGCAACGACAGTGTGTAATATCTCCAGTCCCTAAGCACTCAACACTAAAGGTTGATTGATGAAGATTAAGCCAGCCAAAAGGTGGCACGGGCATGAATAGCCCGTGAGTGGTGGCCCTTTTGAGCCATTACCAGTATCAATAGCTGATACTGGAGATCTGTGGAGGTGCGACTGCACCCTGCGTGACGGGAGATGTCTCCCTCGTCAACACCAAACGACAACCAATGTATATATATTCTCGATTGATGATTGATGAAGATTAAGTCACCCAAGAGGTGGCACGGGCATGAATAGCCTGTAATATATATTCGATTTGGAATTTGGGTTAATTACACGGGAGACATCTCCCGTCACGCAGGGTGCAGTCGCACCTCCACAGATCTCCAGTATCATCTATTGATACTGGAAATGACCCAAAAGGGCCACCACTTATGGGCTATTCATGCCCATGCCACCTTTTGGGTGGCTTAATCTTCATCAATCAATGGGTTAATTATAGGGTGTGTGAATTTCATTGTAAGTTAATTAAATATATGAAAATTAAATATGTAGATACGACTTGGTGTACTTATGTTGTTCTCTCCCGCAGCGACTCTGGACAAGCGCGCTCGCCTCAACAGCGTCGACAGCGGCGACCTCGACACGTCGGACATTGAGGACCGGCCGGCGTCGTCCATGTCGGTAGAGAAGGATCTTGGCGACGAGAAGGTGGACGTGGAGAGTCCTCCGACGCCGCCCCCGCCCTTCCTCCCTCCTCCACGGATTATTAAGTCAGAGGTGGAGGAGCCGGCCACCTCCCTAGTGTCACCCTTGATGTCCGCCGCCTCCATGATGGCGGCGGCGGTGGCGGCCGACAGCAGGAAGGGGCACACGCCGCCCATAATGCCCGCGGATATTCGGCACCACGAAGTGAGCATGATGTCCCCTGCGGCGCCTCGCCCGTGCCTGCCCTCGCCCACATACTCCACGGGGCTCCACGCCAGCCTCCCCGCGGGGCTGCCCGGCGGCTCCCTCCCGTACCCATACCTCTACTACAGCCATATGATGTCCCCTTACCTGTTGAGTCGCGCGCCGCAGCTGCATGCGGCGCCCATGGACAAGGCTGCGGCAGCTGCCAGAGAGATGTATGGCTACCCAACCTACCTACGCTCCCCTCCCGGCCACCACTCCTCCCTATCCGCCACACCATCCAGACCAGCGCCTATCCACCCCTATAGCTACGCTCTCCCGCCCCAAGTGCCAGCCAACCTGTGAGGCGCGGCACTCCGGTGCCAGCGGCAGCGGGTCGACAACAGTCAGTCAGTGTTCACCTGGTGGGCGGCCCGGGGCTGGCAGCCTCCTCCATCTCATCTGTACATTATCATCTTCATCTCGTGTTCACAGTGTGTTTGTATAGCAGCACGGCGTGAGGTGTGTTATGGTGCCCTCGTGTGGCGCCAGGCCTGTATAGTGACTGTCGTCAGGGCGTCATGGTGGTCTAGCGTGGCGCCAGGCCTGTATAGTGACTGTCGTCAGGGCGTCATGGTGGTCTAGCGTGGCGCCAGGCCTGTATAGTGACTGTCGTCAGGGCGTCATGGTGGTCTAGCGTGGCGCCAGGCCTGTATAGTGACTGTCGTCAGGGCGTCATGGCGGCCTAGCGTGGCGCCAGGCCTGTATAGTGACTGTCGTCAGGGCGTCATGGTGGTCTAGCGTGGCGCCAGGCCTGTATAGTGACTGTCGTCAGGGCGTCATGGCGGCCTAGCGTGGCGCCAGGCCTGTATAGTGACTGTCGTCAGGGCGTCATGGTGGTCTAGCGTGGCGCCAGGCCTGTATAGTGACTGTCGTCAGGGCGTCATGGCGGCCTAGCTCCACGCTAGGCCGCACATGACGCCACCTCCCTGCATCACTCAGCTGCCAAAGACTCCTTCTGTACAATTCCTCGACTATCTTTTTTGTTTACTTGGATGGTGCTTATGTAAATATGAAGACAGATGTACAGTTGACGTAGCAGACGGGTAACTCTAGGGGGCGCTCGGCGCCTCCTGCTCTTGTGTGTAATAAATACCAATTAATTCCGA